GTTAGTGCTCAACGAGTTGGCGTTTGCGTTGAATTAAATGGTTTTAAGTCAATTCTTAATTACCAATTAAGTTAAAATATTTTAATTATCACTATATGGAATGGATTTACACAAATTATAAGCTAGCGACGCTGTGTAAAAAATAAACATCCAGTCAACTCTAACCTGGACCATTCTCACCGGCATAAGCAATAAAAATAAGATGATGTTTAACACTCTCCATTCAGTTTCCACATGGGGTTACGGACCCCTTATCCCTCGAGTCGGCACTATTACATAATACCGTGCGATAGTGTTACAAATGGGATTTTGGTACGTGGAAATCTCTAGTATGTGTTACATAGGATTTATAACGTGTTACTGTGAAACCAAACACTGTTTTCGATAGTTTGGATACTTTTTTTTTTTTTTATCAAATCTGGACCTCGAATAATGTAGACAATGTTTAAATTAAAATATATTTTCCACTATTATACACGTCTTGTTCTCTCTGGCCTATTCGGTATTCTCTACGCGCAGGTGTTTGCCTACATGGCGCCTATGGTGATTATTGTTTAATATTATATTGGTAGCATTTTTGTTTTTTAAATTCATTTCCTGTTAATTTTACTTATAAAATCAATACCGCGGAAAAAGCTAATATAATTATTGGCGACTTTTCAAAAAAAAAAAATAAACGCGGCTAAAGCCTTTTTAAAACATGTATATATATATATAGGACACATACACATAACCGTAGGAAAAATGGCCGCATATTCTGTTATACGTTGGAGAGCGCGCGGTCGTGACGGCGATGAGCGGCGGCGGGCGGGGTGCGTCGTTTGTAAACCGCGCAAATAATTTTTGAATGTATACCGAGGATTTTAATAACGAACAAGGTGTAACGGGAGACCATTTTAGATTTTAATGCGATTATCCCTATGGCAACACGGCCGACGATATTCGCTCTGCATGAAACTTTTAATGCTGCGTAAAAGGGTGGCGGCAGTAGAGATGGTGGAGCTTTGCAAGACGAGGGGTGGGAGGGGAGGGGACCGGGAGCGCGGGTTTGATTTTCCACCCTGCACCACGTTGGGAATTTCTCAACAACAAAAAAAAGTATACATATATATATATATATACACACGCACACATAATAGTATATAATATTTAAACGTACGTACCTATAATTTCGAATCGAACGTTCGGGGCGGAAGTCTGTTTTGATTCCGCCGCGCGTACGTACCGCCTTGGCGCGCGCAAAATAAATATATATGAACCAGGAGCGCACTCTTGACTTTCCATCTGCGCCACAGCACACCACCTCTGCCCCCCCGACTGTTAAAATATGTATAATTTATATATTATGTGTGTGTGTGTGTGTGTACAACAATGTATTCCCCGACGATCAGAGCCGCGATGGCTTCCTCCTAGTGCGCTGAGAAGGGGGGGGGGGTTTCATCCGGCAGTTAGTTCGAGTACATACATTGGAAAAGCTCGAAATTCTCATCGTCTAATATTATCGCGTCTTAGACGTTTGGACTTTTTTTGGTTTTTTTGTTTCCGGGCCTCTAGTGGAGTCGACAAGTGCGCTATAGATTGGTTCTTCTGCTTTGGTCCCGTTGCGATACTGCTTAATTAACGACTTTCAACGTTGTACAAAAACATGTCACAGGAGCGTCGAGTAGTTGTACAGTAAAAAAAAGTACACCGATACGAAATTAAAGATTAACACTATATCCGTGTATATAAGTTATTAATTGGTTTGGTCATTAATTGATTTGCTCAAAAGCAGTGCCGTATCATATTGAATCTATTTAAAAATTACCATCACAACGTGAATACACGGTAATAGGTGCAACATGTGTTTAGAACAGTTGCATTATCCGAAATTGCACCGAATCGAAATAGATCACTAATGAAAGGTGTTAGCTCTTGTTGTAATACAGTGTCAATTCACCGAATTACCATTTCTACTTTGTATGTGGAACGCGCATAAATAGTAGAGCAACGGTATTATCGGCGAGCAAACCGAACTGCAACGAACTAGAATTTAGGTTGCTTAGAACTGTGCAAATGACAACAAATTTTACACTCGTACAACTCTCTCTAATAATAAATTTTATTCCAAAACGGAATGAATTAAATTATTCTAAACTAGTTCGGATTAGAAACTCAATTTTTAGAAAATGTGGCAAATATTTGTTTTTAATTAAATATGTATAAATAGAATGATACAATTTTTTTAAATAGTCAATGAACGTGAACACAATAATTATTAAGAATCATTAGTTTCTTTCGAAATAAATTTTTAAACAAAATCTTTTGTCAAAACCAAAGTTTTCGAACTTTTTTATTTTATAGGCTAGACACGTTATTTAATTCATAACATTTCAGAGTCGCGCTTTTTCCACTTGTTTAAGAATCTTATACAATTATTTTTTTTTTTTCACACAACCCTTTTACTGTGATAGCTTTTTCGACAGTGTTTCCAAGAAATATACATATATGTATGTGAACTACGTTGGGTCATGTGTTAATGAATGAAATATAAAAACACTAAAGTAATAAAATCGATTATTTTTGTTTAAAAAAAAAAATTGAAAGCGACTATAATAATTATAGATTAGTTTATATTTGATGAAATGTAATGCTGTCAAAGTATTACACTATATAAGACACCAAAGATTTATGCTTCATTAAAAAATAAAATAATAATAATTTATGGCTTATAGATATTATTTGAAAATATAAAATAGTAGATATTGAGTAGAAAATATTACTGATGTATAAACAGCAAAAAATGTTATTATTTATTCATATTGATTCTATTAATTTTAATATTAATATTATTTAAAAAATATTAATACATTGAATATTTTTCGCTGCAGCAGATATATTGGAATATAAATCGGTTGGTTGTTATTAATTTCCCAAATAGAACTGAACGACATCGTTTTATAACCAGTGTAAACAATAGTATTGTATACGATTCACTTCAATAATTAATCGATTGCCGAGCATAAAGGAATCACTGCCGATTGCACAGGCGAAGTTACATATTGTATATTATTATAGCCAAGACGGCAAATCTAAGCGTTGTAATAATTCTAATATTATATCCTTGCGCTAGTAAACAAGACTATATGGCTTTATGAATATTAATTTTAAAACGCGTAACGAGTGATTTACAAATTCCGTTGACGTCAGATGGTGGTGGTGGTGTTAACACACTACCTCTACATTATGTTTATCGAATGCAATTGTCTACAGCAGCCCAAAATTGTTCGAGTGCTTACCTGCTGTTGAATAAACATAATTGTAGGTACATTTTTTTTAGACTTTATTTTTATGAAAATGTTATTGTTGACGTTGAATGTTGACGTGATGAAATCAAATTGTTGGAAAAAAATTGTTTTATTGTTGAAATTTTTTAAAACTATATTATGACAGCAAACAAATATATATTTGCTACATCCTAATCTAATCAAACGGCTTCATTACTGACTATTACTATGGATAAATTAATGACAAGTTGAGAGTTTGAATTAGCCGTTAAACGTTTTTTGTAAGGCAATGTAATTGATTTTGAAGGCATGAAATACGTATTACACTGTTGGTTTGTCGACTTTGTCATGTTATGGTTATAATATGATCAGACCGTTCCAGAAAAAATGAAATTTGATATTGTTTTTTTTTTATCCTAACGGCAATTTAGAAGCAATTTTTAGATCATATTTCGGCATGAAAACAAATGTTGCAGCATCATAAGACTATTTCTCAAAAAATTTTAATTTACGAGTTATCCGTAAACTATTTTCATTTCTTCAATAAATATTAAAACTATAATATTTTCCATCATACCTATAATAAAATAACGTTAAGAAAAAGAAGAGGAAATTCCAAATTGCTGTGTGGAAGCGTTTGATAATATTCTAGTATTACGTTTGTAGTAACATTATTTAAATATTTTTTTCGTTAATATGGCTTTTTCAGATGAAAACATGTGTATATTTACAGCTACATTGGTAGAAAATATGTTTAAAATATATTTAAGTATGTGGGGGTAGTTCGTGTGTACTTATCAAGACTGTAGTCTTGCCGAGTGTTTTGGTTTTTGTTCCTACGATTCGACTGTAATCTAGTGTAATAATTTATACTATGGTACAATTAACTACATATTGGTTATGTAATAGATTTTTTTATTTTTTTTATTAGCGCGTATGACTCACATAATAATGGCACGTCCAAACCGACGACTTTCTCGAACGCAAAAATGCCGTCGAGACGGCCGGCCGGGTAAGAAACAACGGCGCGGCGGTCGTCGTCGAGGTCCGCCCGTGTGTGATTTTCCAGTCAGATGTAAACTAAAAAGTATAAATTTTAAATCCGATTTAGACCGCTGTTTCGTGTGCAATTTTTTTTATCGGTCCACCCGATGGCTGAGAATCCGCGACGCTCCCAATAAAAGTCAACGGTCGGTAATAATAATAATCGCATTGCCCGGACGGATGATATAGTGTACGTGCCGAAAATCAAAAATTCACTCGGTCCCAGACGACCGGGCAATAAAATAAACAAAACTCGGTTGTAATTTAACACATAAGGAGAGAGAGAGAGAGAGAGAGATACGGCCAACGAGTATATTATATCTTGTGAGGTAAAGGCGAAGAAGGTACGTAGGTACTGCCGACGAGACGAGAGAGGAAAAAAAAGTCGAGAAATGAGCGAAAACAACGATGGAAATAATAATAATAATAAAAAAAATTTCGTCCGAGACGGAGCGCGCGCGGGGGACTCGCCCGGGGAGAACAAAATGTGAATTTTGTCAGTGTGTCTGTGTAAGTATACGATATTAGTGTATACATAGGTATACGTGGAGAGACTGTAGTAGTTGTATATATGTATACATTTTTATTATACGGTCGGGCGGGGTGTGTGTGTGTGTGTGTGTGTGTGTGCGCGCAATCTGCTAGCCGAGAGGAACTGGTTCAAGATTTCGTTGCACCGGCGCACGAAAAAAAAACCACACCGGCCGTACATGACAGTTAGCGTTTTGATGCAACGCAAGTACAACCAGTTCGCCGATATTGGTCGTTTGCGCCGCCGTTGCCTTTGCCCGTCAGCGAGTGTGTCTGTGTGCGCGCCGTACGGTTTTCGGCCGGTCACCCACAAACCGTGTGCGAACGTCTTGGACCGGTCGCGTGCCAGTGCAATATATTCATGCGAGGTGGTGATTTTTTATTTGTTTTTCCATACATCTTCTGTCTTCTTCGCCGCTTTGTATTTTCTTCGCCGTTTCCGCGATCGTCTTCACCAACAACCCTCTTAGCGGTTCAGTTCGGTTCGGCATGACCTGTCGGCTTCCCGCCCGGCCTCCACCGCCACATTATTACGGTAAGTCCGAAGCAACACATCCCCTCGCCCTGCGCCCGACGAAAAAAAATTCACCGATCAGGTTAGGTTCTGAATCTCGTTTGCCAAAATTGGGGGTTTTTTTTTTACACCCCGGTAACCTAACCTTACCCGACTTCCTTAACGACACATAAAATAAAAGACCCGCTGTAAAAATATTGTAAAAAAAATTATATTTTTTTGAAATTATCGAATAAATCATTGCGATTTTTCGCTGTAAAATAACGATGTACGGGGAATTTTACACATGATATATTTTTTAAATATTTCATTGTTTAAAGTCATAATAATATTTTACAATATTGTTTTAATAATCCAATTTGATAACTCCAATTTTACCACAACTGTTTCAATTATTTATCAAATAAATATCATAATTATTAAAATATTAAAAATGATTCGTGTATTAATATCGGAATCGTTCGTTTTTTATTAGTTTTAGATTTCCGGTAAAAAAATTGGAAAAATTCTTAAGAAACGTTACAATTTTTCAACGAGTTATTTTCGAAGTATAGTAATGTCGTGTGGTAGTCACACAATTTTATTCATTCGAATGATTATTTTTGTAAATAATCGGACCAGAATTATTTTTACCAGCTCGCAAACGGGTGGCTTACTCGCCGCCGCCATAATCCGTCCCGCCTTTGTATTCATAATATTATCCGAATAATAATTATTGCAATGATTTCCAACGGCATTTTTTTAGCTTCAATGTTTTATTATTTAAAAAAAAAAAATGTATAATTGTCTACTTACACGACGGTTTGCAAACGCCGCGCGCGGTTCTATAATATTATCTTTTACCGAGAAACCCGTTATCTGCGGACGGTAGGTAAATGAGAAAAAAAATTTGATGAAATTGTTAAAACGTAACAATAAAAAACGACGAAAAATAAAAAAAACTTAACACATATTATTCAACACACGCGTAATGAAATCGCGTATAGGTAATTGTAGAATGTAAATGTCGTAAGCTATGATAGAAAAAAAAAAAAATTATAAAAATGTACATTTTTTTGTCGTTATGTTTATTTTTATTAACGTTTTAAACAAAAGGCACTTGACATTTTTTTGGCTCGTCTGCGTTTATTCTCGATCAGGCCTCCAGCTAATATAACAATACTAATGTTTAAGTAGTAGTTTTTTTTTAAAAAATTTTTTTTATTGTGTCTGGCGCGATAGACTTTTCCAGACTTGACTATCCGCCGTAGACACAAACACAAACGTTCGTTCTAAACGCTACCAATAAGCAGGATTATTATTCGCATTTCATCGTTCCACAATAACCACTATACAGGTAAGCACAATCGTGTGTGTACAATATTACGTATAATAATCGGTAAACTATTTAAACAGAAATTCAGTTTAATTATTTTTATTAATAATATAATATCAGATTGTGGAAAATAGCGTAGGTCGTGTAGGTGCAATCGTTGCTGTGCCCGAGCTCTATGTTTAGACCAATTAAGAATGATTATAAAGTATATAATAATAGTATTGAAATCAATTATCAACTATTACCTATCATTAATATACCGAAAACGGTTGGTTTTACTAGCGTTATCTGAATTTTATTTCGGGTTTCTGTATAATTGCGCCGCGGTCGGCCGACAATTAGATACCACAATATAATATGAGTCTCATTATTTTTATAAATAATCATTCAATCTGATTTTTTGTACTTTTTGTTTTTATTATATTTGGCAAAACCGTCGTCTTAATTGAAACTGAATAGAGCGAGTAACATTTAACAATGAATTCTCGAGTTCAAATTTGACCTTTTTTAGTCGCCGTATTACACCTTATATTAGACGTGAGAACATTTCCAAAAAAATAAACATTAATATCATTATTAAGTGTGCTGTGTGCAATAACTTATGTACTATGCGCGTTTCGCTCACTAATTAGAAGAAACGCCATTTTGTTTTTCGTTTATCCGTTCACCGCCAGCAAAATCCGTTTAGCAGCACTCGAAGCCGTTGCCACATGCACCGCTGGTGTTTAGCCTGTAATATTGCACATGTGTTTTGCTCAGGCATTCCAAAAACCCTTTCTTAAGTCGTCGTCGCCGTCTTGTGTAATGTAAAATTATTAACAGAATCACGGTCAACGGTACAGGAGACGGAGACAATATTGCTGTACACCGAACGACCAGATGATACCGTCATAAAATAAAAATATAATCCCAAGCCGATGATAGATGAACGTTATAGGAACACAAGAAGTAATCGCTCATTCCTACAAAAAATTTGTAGTTTTTCGAAATTTAGGATTTTAATGTTTTTAAAATATTTCCAACTCTTCTTCTTCTCCGCTTTTGTCTTCGTCTTGACTATTCGGGGTCGGTCACATTTCCAACTAGGTACAAGATAATAACTTATTAGTATATTATAATTTCAACAAATTTATTAAACATTTTTAATTTTGAAATTTTTTTATTTATATTACGTCCGTGATGTTTTTAATAAATAATGTCATTAATTCTGTACTGCGATTTAAAGTATTTGACTTTGTAAATGTCTTGGCCAAGTTTAGGTGAAAATACAAGTGTAATATCGCTGTGTTCGCTGTGTTGGAATGTTACTTATATTTTGCAAGCGCATTTCAAATATTTAACAAATAGTATTTAAACAACGCCATGTTAAATATCATCTCATATTTAAATTGCAATGTCTTCGAGAATTCCTTTTAAAATAAGTTTTTGTTCGTGTCGGGAACACAATATTCTTATTATTGTTATTGCTTATGTACAAGAACCTGTAGACTTAAGCCAGGCCCGCTAGTTTAGCGGGTGAATATTATAACCTTTCTGAGAACTTTGTATAGGTACTTATGCTTTTGAAACAAAGAGATAGATTTATTTCGGAAGACGTTCTGCGTCTAGATAAAAGGTAAGGGGGTGGCTAAGGAGTGGGGAGAGGGGATTATAACACGACGGGGATGCTGTGACTTGTTTTTTTTTGGGTGACACGCCACAAGGACCATAACAATCCAGGGTGTCGTTTGGCCAAATAAATTATTCAAATCCGTCCGGGCTTTGGTGGCGACTGTTACACTTCTTAAGGTGGTGGCGAATAGGGCGTGGAGGGGAGGAAGGAAGGCGGATTGCTGTCAATCGACGAGACGATACGATGGCAACCGCGGTAGTGGTAGTTACACCATTAACAACAACAACAACAACAACTGCGGCGGACGACTTGTTGCCTTGTATATAATAATAATAATAATAATAATAATTAACACGGTGTACCGCGATTACCGCCGGCAAAGTCGATTAAACGCCGGCGGCGGCACGCCAACTCCATGTCGTTATGGACCCTGCAAACTGGACCATATACAACCCGGGTATTAGGTTAAATGCTCGCAGAGAGTCATGGTGTATTATTTGTATATTGTGTACACAATAAATAAATAAATCATATGTTATAATTATATTATTTAATAATAAATAATAAATTGTGTACATAATAAATTCTCAAACAAAAATACAACATCAATTTGGCGCTACTAAAGCTATTTTTTTTCGAAAACGTTTAAGATACGCCCACATATTTTAAGTTAAGTGGCGTGAATTTCAGAAAAGATGAATCCCAAAACGTCCGTGGCTTAGGCGTGGTACATTGACGTTTTTCAAAATCCCACACTCTGTAATACGATTTGCAAATATTATAAAACGAATCGTTAATCAACCATCGATGTCGCGGCGTGCAATTAATTTAATTACTATTTATATACATATATATATATGTATATATGTAAATTGCATCATAACATCTGCGCTGTGTAGAACAGCGGGTAAAGCAATTAGTCCATCTGTATAGAAAATAATAACAAAGTCAATTACTCTGCCAGTATCATTGGAAGTAGGTTACAACAAGCGAATCGTCATATAATATTCGCACTTATTATCAAGAACATATTATAAACATATTTGATTTCGGTGATTGTGGTGCGGGTGACTGTCAGATGATAACCAGACACCATGGTGAAAACGACAGCGGTACGGTGGACTAAACGTTATAACCGGTAGACGGTACAACAGAATAATTAATTAATTGACGGTAAACAAAAAATACAGCACGGTGCAGCTGCAGTTGGATGCAGCGCGATGCGGTCGGTACAAGAACTGGAAGAATGGTCGGTGGTGGCGATCACAGGCGGTAGTGTGGGGGGACGGCGGCAGTCGAGATAACATAGGTATTTTTTACATTTAAAATGTACCGTGTGATTTTACATATTTTTATATTAGGTCCAAGCCGCAAGAGGAAGTTTATGTTGAGCTAAGAGTAGAAATCAGTTATATATATGTTAAAAGAAATATAAAGAGGCAAAAATTTAAAAAAAAAATTTGAAATCAGTCTGATTGGAAATTTTGCTTTTTCCGTTCCCCTCGAATAAGATAATCGATTTTTTTTTAAACTTTAAGTAAACAGTTTTAATTGAATGTTGTCAAATGTAGAGTAAAACATCAAAATATAATGTTTTTGTGTTCTCACTGTATTATTGTTTGAATTTCAACTACAATTGTTGTTACAATTATTGATTACCACCCATTTTGTAATCAAATTATATTTACCTATATTATAATCATTTTTGCCATATTAATTTTTTTAATTTGCCGTTTGGGGCTTCTATTCATATATTGTTATGTTGTGATTACACCGTCTATCGCCTACCTTTGTGGTTGTAATGGTTTTGCGCATTTAATTGCCAAGTACTTGGCGCATTCGAATCGAACGTCTAGGCGGAGTCGAGTGTGAGCCTTTGTACACTATATTTGACGTATTGGAGATGTCGATAATCTACCAAGGCAACAGAGCAGCGCCGTTCAGATAAACCGAGTGCATTGTGCAGCTGCAGTCGTTCGTTATTGCACCAGTGTACTGATATCCAGCTCTTGTACACTAACAACTAATTATTTTTACACTTTTGCCCTATATATATTATTATAAGTCATAATAACGCATTTAAACCTTCGACCG